CATTTATATATATATATATATATATATATATATATATATATATCTACTTTCGTATTAATTTGTTTTCAATGTTTGTTTGTCTTATTAAAATCATTCTTAATCTTTTTAATTTTTAATTTTCTAAATCATTCACACACGAATCATTGTCTTAATCTAAAAAATTTCGTTCAATGTTATTGAAGATATAATAAGTATCTATCTATGTACTATAAGTATCTCAAGATTTATCCCTTTAAATAGAGATTGATCCTGTTCCATCTGGTCTCTATTAGCGACGTCATTGGATATCTGGAAGGTAGCTACAGCTATAGACATAACAGAACACACACGAAAATTCGAGATGCCATCGAAAGTGGGTCGATCGAAGAGCTAGGTTGTTGAAAAAGCTTTATAGCTGGGTCTATTGTCGTCTCGAGTGCTCGGTGCTGAAAGAATTGCCTCTTATATCCACATCTTTGCGTCTTTTTTTGCGTTTTTTTTTTAACCAATTAAAGCTTCAGACTGGACGTTTCGAAAAATTGTACAATGAACGAGTTTTCTTCCTGCTTTTCTATAAAATTTCACGAATCATTGTGTACCTTCCATCTTTGATGAATCTCGTTATTTGCTCGATCAATTGCTTCGATCATTCGAATGGCTATAAAAAATTTTAAATATTTAGAATTTGTATGTAATTATATTTTATGATTCTTATATTTAATTTTGAAGATTATCTTCTAGTTTTCCAACAATAAGTTCTGTTTCATGGCGTCTTCGCTTCCTAATCACACCAATCCTGCTTTAGTTATCGTAATAAGTTCGTGCTCGTGTTATTAATTAGATACCATAGCTTCATAATAGCCACGCTCGATTCAGTAATAATTATGCGAGTTTCGAGCATAAATCTGAATATGATGGTAACGTTGCATCAAAATTATTTATTTTATTAAAAATTTGTGAAAAGTTTATATTTACAGAAAATGTTATTTTGATTAGATTTATTTTCGAATATCTCTTGTAACGAAAATTTCGTCAAATTTATGAGTGGCAACATAGACTCGAAATTGGGAAGTCATTTTGTAACTCGCAAATTTACGGATATTACTTTCGAAATACCTGGCAAAGGAAGTCCCTAGAGAAATAGGATTATTATTAGGGACATACCAGGCTAAGTTCATCCGCACATAAGAGAAGAGTCAGCAGTTTAACCAACAGAGTCACTAAAATATTATTGCATTATAAGTATCACTTGTAGCATAAGTAGCACTTATCTCAAGAACTCATTATCAGATTATTTAGCAGCTGAAATGTTGCTACTATCTGTAGATATAAAATTCATAACAAAGCTATGTTGTATCATGTGAATTACAATTTACTAATTGATAAAGCTTTTCGATTAAAAATTACATATAGGATGTATATCAAACAGTTGATATATATAATGGATAATTCTGCAAAATTCTTGAATTGAATACCAAAGATAATCATTTTATTTATGATTCAATTACATCCTTTATCGAAATCCACATCGTACAACTGTATATTTATCTTCTTTAATGCTCGTTGCTCGACTTTCTTATAATAGTTTGTATAATACCAATCGTCACGATTTATTGGAATAAAACAGGAATACGACGATAATTATAAAAAAAATCATGTTTGACAAGTCAGAATGATGCAACTTATCCTATTTTCGTATTATAATTTAACTCCAACAAATTTGATTATTTCCGTCGTAATTAATATTCGACGTATTTAATTGGACAATTCGTACAATGGCTTCTACGAAACTTCTCCATATAATTGCAATCGCATAGCATCTCCGTAATTGATACCTTAGAATGCCAATTATTCAGACATTAATCATCTGTAAATTGATTCGCCTATGAGAATATCATGTATTCTCGTCGACAGAAATTCTTGACTTTGAGACGTGGAAACAGTTGCGTGCTTATATTCAAGATCGTTAGATTTCTATACTCGAGAGTTTCGTGGATATAATCAATAGTGGAAATATTATTACCAGATTAAACTGATTCCTAACTTGCTAGATAATCTATCGCAATTCTGAGATGCAGATTGGCAGATCGAATATAAAATTCATTAATCAATGATATTCGAAGAAATCAGGATGTTTCGTATTCTCAATTTTAATCAAAATATTTAAAAATAATTTTGATATTAACTTTAATTTTATATGTAATAATAATTGAGATTTTAATTTTGTATTTAATGTATACGAAATAGAGATAGACATTGTTTGCAGACAGTCTGTCA